ACAGCTCTTGAAGTCATTCTGAAATTCATCCCCCAACTCTGCCTTTTCCCCTCCTTCCACTGAAAACCCAATGAGCTGCAGCATGGCATCCTTTCTTTGAGCCTGCTTATCCCAGGGCAGGGAGGAATGGGAGAGGGAAGAGGGTGGTGTTTTGCGAGGAGGTCAGCAGGAGGCAGGGCATTGAGGCAGAGACTTTGGATCTCCCGTGTGGAAGAGCTGGCCCTTGCCAGGAGACTGATTGGGTTGTCTCATTCTGTGCTTGCAGAGCCCCAGAACGAGGCCTTGCCATCCCACATCACAAGAAGGAAAGAAGTTCAGGAGAGAGGAAGAAGGGAAGTGAGGAGGGAAGGCAGGAAAGTAGCAAGAGGGAGGGAGTTAAGGTCAGGAGGGAAGGAGGAAGACATGCCAGCAACGGAAGAAGGCAAGGAAAAAGGCAGGGGAGAAAGAAGGAAAAAAGGCAGAAATCTAGGAAAGAAGGAAAGCTAAAAGCAAAACAGGAAAGGAAGATTGCAAGAGGGCAGGAAGAAAGGTTCAGGGAGTGCTGCTAGCCATGAGTTTCTGCTGCAGCCTGGGACTCTTTCCCTGCAGTCCCATGCTCTGTCCCCACACACTGTGAAGACTTGGCCTACATCACATACATCAGAGTGTTCAGGTCACAGGGTTCTAGTGTGACTTGGGGACCCTGGTTCACAGCAGCGTGCGCATTCCCTGGAGACGAGTGGGACCAGGGGACCAGTTGGCCTTGCCCTTCCAGATGGGGGGAAGGAAAAGGCTGTGTGAACTCTTCCACATTGTGCCTCCCCACGAATTTGTGTAGCAGACTGAAAAGAGGAAGAAATGGATGAGGATGAAGGAAATAGGAGGGGAACGGGTGTGAGAGGACAGAGAAGAAAGGTTGGCAGGACAGACAGAAACACATTCAGGGAACAGCGTGAGAAGCAGTCTGTGAATGGCAGAGAAATGAGGTGAGGCAGGGAATACAAGAAGAAAGGAGAGTCAAAAAGTGATTCAGAGATGGGAAGGAAGAGGAAAGAAGTTAGAGACCTCGTAAAAGACAGAGAGACAATACCACTCTTTTCCTAAAGAGCTCGATGACAAGTGAAGAAAATGGGTTACTGTCAAATACTGGGCTCCCTGCGCACTAGTGCCAGATCCCTGTTTGCATGCAAAGGTTTGTGCTATGTTGCTCCAGCTTTTGAGTCACTGTGAATCTTGTTCAGCACAGAAATATGTGCCTGAGTCATTGAGTAGGGCATGATCTATCTTCATAGATAAACGTTTGTTCTTAGTCCCATTACTCTGGATGTGATTTAGGAATTCCTTCTCAATATATGCTTTGCTATTTTCCACTGAGTATACAACCAACAGAAGAGAGGTATCCTTCCCAGTGGGCAACTTGTACCAGGACATGGTACTGACTCCACTCAACGTTCCGGAGCAGTTCAGAATCACAGGGTCTCCCACTTGGATGACTGTATCTGGTGATTGCTGAACAGCCCCGCCTGGAAAGAGAAGGGAAGAAATGTGGGAAGTGAAATGCCTTGAAGAGGACACAAAAATACATCCTTGAAGTATGTCATAGGATGCAGTGGCGTCTGGGTGTAAGAAAGCTGCGGGACAGTGTCCTGTTTCTCTGAAAAAGACACATAGGAGAAAACAAACAAACTAACAATCAAACAAACCAGTTTCAAAATCAAATGTACATCTGTTTTGAAAAATAATGGCTTGAGGACTCTCACTTGAAGCATTAAAATGGGACAGAAAAAACCAAATTTGTGAGCCTACAAAGTTTTCGATTTAAGAAGTAGAGGAAAAGTTCACCTTTTTCATTGCCCATCCTCCCCCTGGACACCTTGGTGAAAGGACACTGCCAGCAGTTGGGCACACCGCTGAAGCAGCAGCAGTGGCTCCAGTGCAGATGTTCAAGAGGAAGGGAAGCTCACTTACCCAGAGGAACCAGGATGGCCACAAGGAACCAGTGGAAATCCATTGAAAAAGGCCACCTCCTTCCAGCAACCTGCCCCTGGTGACAGCACAGACACAGAGCTGTGTACAGAGGAAAGGCTGAGAGGAAGAGATACATGTGTTTGTGGGTGGGCAGGGGAGTGGGAGGGAGTCAGAAGTGTGAGAAGGCAGTTGTCTGCCTGGGAACAGTGGGAATGACACCTGCACGCAGTCCTGAGGTGCATGTACTCTGCTCCACTGACTTCCTGCTGTGTGTGTGTGTGTGTGTGTGTGTGTGTGTGTGTGCATGAGTAGGTGGAGTTAAGTGTTATCACAGGAGCATGATGGGGCTGGGTGGCAGCCTGAGTGTGGTCATGGCACAGGGATGCACAAAGAGGCACCAAATGAAGGGAAGGAAAGGGACCTCAGGAATGCATGTTTGTGTCTGTGCCCACAGCTTTTCTCCTCTCTAGACATGCTCAGACACACAGACTCCCAAGCCTGCAAGTTGCAGAGTGGAATCTTCTTTGCTGATCCCAGTCAGGCCTGACATGTTGCCTGACATGGAAAAAGTGCTGACCTGTCATCCTGGTGTCTGTTGCATGACAGAGAGTAGTTCTTAACTGTTCTTCTCTTATTCCAAAGGGGGATCTCCAGGAGAGAAAATGCTGGTTTTGGCTCTGCCCTGGGACTACCTCTTGAGAGACTGCACCCCAGAGAGATTTCTGAAGAGAAGGGTGTGCCCCAGGGGATATGCTGGTACAGACTTTCCTTCTCCATGCCAGAGAAGAATTGATACTCTTCTGCACTCCTCATCCAACAGGACAAGAACGGACAAAGCTGGAGAAAATAATGTCTTCTTGACACAGAGCCTTGTTCACCATCCCAAGGCAGTGGGAAATCACTGCCAGCAGGAAGAGAGGCTGATAGTTTGTGTGCATTGGGTTGGTGTACAGAGGTCTGACCAAGACTCTGCATATCCATGCTGTGCTGCTGGCCAGCAATGCAGGGCAGTGTAAGGCTGGCCCGTACAAGACAGCAAGTGATCCGGTTGCTCAAGGTTCTCATGGACCTTGCAATAAAGATGTCCCCCTGTGTCCCTTCAGCTGAAGAGAGCAGAAACACTTCCAGCTCCCAAACCCTCTGTTGCATTCATTGCATTCATTTCCACCAGCTGCCTACAGAAGATTTAGGAAAGATCCCAGATTCCTCCAAAGAAAGAAAAGGGAGAAAAGAGCAAAGCGGGTGGGCTACATTGTGCAGGCAGCCGGAAGGAACCGCACACCCTTGCAACACCCCAGCACTTCAGTTGAGAGGAGACTCGACTTGCTTTGTACGTGGAAAGGGACTCCATTTCCCATGGGATTCCCTGAGGAGTGCAGGTGACAGAGCAGTGCATAGGGAGCCTTGCAGAGCACATGGTATTCAAGGAGTTAGGGATCTCAAACAGACATGTCTGCTCTGTTGGGCCTTGTATTTAGGTCTCAAGAAGCCTGTATGTTAGCATGGGAATCTGCAGTGGGGGAACCTTCTGGAATGCCTGCTGCTGGCCTGTGCCACACACTGGTGTATGTTATGTATGACAGAAAGGATCACAGAATCACAGAATGGGTAAGGTTGGGAAGGACCACAGTGGGTGAATCAGGTCCCACCCTCCCTGCTCAGGCAGGGTCTTCCTCAGAGCACGTTGAACCGGATTTTGTCCAGGTGGTTCCTGAATATCTTCAGGAAGGGAGACTCCACAAACTCTTTGGGCAACCAGTTGTAGTACTCAGTCACCCTCACAACAAAGAAGTTCTTCCTCATGGTCAGGTGGAACTTCCAGTGCATCAGTTTCCACCCATTGCCTCTCGTCCTATGTCTCAGCACCACAGAGAAGAGCCTGACTCCATCCTCTTGACACCCTCCCTTCAGATACTTATATCTCTGGAGGAGGTCCTCTCTCAGTTGCCTCTACTCTACTTGAGGGCAGTCTGGCCCAGTTTCCTGAGCCTTTCCTCATGAGAGACACGCTCCAGTCCTTTAATTGTCTTCAGATCCCTCCACTGGACCTGCTCCAGGAGCTCCATGTCTCCCTTGTACTGAGGAGCCCAGAACTGACACAGCCCTCCAGATGTGCCTCACCAGGGCTGAGGAGAGGGGCAGGATCACCTCCCTCAACCTGCTGGCAATGCACTTCCTCATTCACCCCAGGATACCATGGGCCTGCTTGGTCACGAGGACACACTGCTGCCTCACGGACAGCTTGTTGTCCACCAGGACCCCTAGGTCCTTCTCCACAGAGCTGCTTTCCAGCACATCGGCCCTCAGGCTGTACTGGGAAGTAACGTGGAGTTATTTGTCCCCAGGTGCAGGACCCTGCATTTGCCTTTGTTCAGTTTCAGACGGTTCCTCCCTGCCCATCTCTCCAACTTGTCAAGGTCCTTCTGAAGGGCTGCACAGCACTCCAGTGTCTCAGCCACTTCTCCCAGCTTTGTGTCATCAACCAACTTGATGAGGAGACTCTCCACCTGTTCATCCAAGTCATGGATGAATAGAACACTCTCTCCTGTTGGAAAATTTCAGTTAGCTGCACAGCTTGCTAAGACAATCTTTGGGAAAGGTAAACTGTGTGTGGATCAAGGGGTGGAAGGCATTGGTCCTGACCCAGAGAGCACTGTACATGGAGGAGTTAGTGATGCACATAACAGTTAATGGGAGTAGGCACAGGCCTGTGCTGTGCTGCACACAAACCACAAACCTTGGCTACATAACAACCAGAGAGGAGTTGTTGCAACAGAGGAGCATGTGGGCAGCTCCCACTTGGAACTGGTTACTTTGACACCTGCCTGGTCTGGCCTTGCCTTTATGTAAAGGTGCACCAGGAACTTCTCACGCAAGCATCCTTTTTGTTTGATAGTGAGAATAAACTCTCAGCATCTAAGAAGAGGAAGAAGGGAAGGCCAGGAAGCAGAGGAGGTAAAGACTTGGAAGCAATCTCCCTGTCTTGTGCAGCACCCGGAAGGAGGAAAGTAGGTCCTGTTTGTGCGGGGAGAGGTTTGTGCTCAGCTGCCTCATCAGCCTAGCCACTGTGTTTCACTCTCAGCACAGTAATACATGCCAGAATCGTTGAGAAAGGCATGCTCTATCGAGAGGATCATACTGTCTCCTTGTATCTTACTGGCCTTGAAATGGCTCTCGAGATCCTTCTCAACAACTGCATTAGCACCTTCCACTGCAGAAGCCACTGGGGTCAGCCTGGAGTCCTTCTGCGAAGGCAGCATGTACCAGTACATTGCTGTGTTGGAGGATTTCTTCTTGGAACATCTCAGAGTCACAGGGTGGCCTTCTTGTATCACCGTGTCTGCGGACTGTTCCAGAGCCAACACTGGAAGGGTAAAGGAGTAGCATTAAAGAGAAGGAAAAAATGGAAAAATGTGAACTAGGCACTGTGAGTTGGTAGAGAAGAGGGTGCACAAAGAATTAAAAATAGACCGCCATTGCAGGAGATTTGAGGATTGCTTCCCATCTTGTTCATTGCTCATCCTCAACACTTTGTGGAATGAAACACTGCCAGCAACTGAGTACCCAGCTGGGAGAGCAGCAGTGGGATCGATGCAGGTGTTCAGGAGTAAGTTGAGTTCACTTACCCACAGGGACCATCATGGCCACAAAGAAACAGCAGGAAACCATGGGGGGAAAGCCCCTATCCTGTCAGCAACCTGTATTCTGTAGTTGTGCAGAGATATGTGAAGAGTAGCACTGAGTGAGGATGAGACATACTGGGGTGGGGCAGGACAAGAAAGGTGAGAAAGGATTGGCTGGCTGGGAACACTGGGGAATGACACAAAGCATCACAGGGAAGCGTAAAGCCTTCAGTGATGCAGTGGGCTGGGCGGTGGGGGTGGTGGGGGTGGTGGAGAGACAAGAAGGGGGTTGTATGAACAGAACTATGCTGAGGTTGCCTGGCAGTCTGAGTGTGCAAGGCAGAGGAATGCTGAGAGCTCCCCTTCTCCTTCTGAAGGCCTTGAGAGATGAAAGAATGAGGTATAAAGGACACCCACTGGTCCCTAGAATTTTCCCATTAGTTTTCCCTGTCCTCCCCAGACATGGCTGCCCCACCGCCCCTCTTCCCACCCGACCGTGTGATGGGAGCACACTTCATCTGGCAAATTTGAGGATTGCTCAGGGACTGAGACCATCTGTGTCATTCCCCCCTCTGCCCAGTGAATCCAGATGTCCAGGGTGGTTTGCTTTCCTGGCAGGACTGAGCTTGTCCTTCAGTGAGGTGTGGAGGGTGCCACTGGGATACAGCCAGTGAAAGCAGCTGCACAGTGACATTTCATTCACTCATGCTCTGCCAGTGACACTTCTCTGCTGCTCTGCTCACCAGCTGATGAGATCCAGGCAGCTGGCATCCTTTTCCCTGTGTCCTCAGGTATTTCTGCTCTGAAAAACCTCCCTGAGGCCTTTCCTGCATGGGGGGAAATCTACAAAGGATAGCTGGAGAGCCCGATGAGCACAGGGATGAACGTCTGGGAGACTGGCAAGGGTGAAAGGAACACAGGGAATAAATGACAGACGTCTTCACTATGCCAAGCCCTGCTGGCAATACCTTTCCCTCCTCCTCCTCCTCCTCCTTTCTGTGCCTGGAGCTCTACCTGATGACAGGGAAGGAGACTCAAATGGACTAGGATTCCTGGTGGTACTTCTGTTCCTAATGCTGGGAAGGAGAAGGCACTAGCCTTCTCTATGTCACCCAACTCAGTGTTCCTGTGAAGAAGAAAGTTCATTGAAAGTCATGAGGAAAACTGTATGCAAGTGCTAAGCAGGAGACAGGATCAACAGGTGGAGACTGTGATATGGTGCTGTGTTTTAGATTTAGGATGAGAATAATGTTGATAACAGAGTTTTAGTTGTTGCTGAGCAGTGCTTACCTGAAATCAAGGACCTTGCATTTTCTCCTGCTCTGCCAGCCAGGAGATGCACAAGAAGCTGGAAGGGGGCTTTTCCAGGACAGCTGACCCAAACTGATCCAAAAGGATATTTCACACTGCAAACCATCGTGCTCAGAATATAAACTGCAGGGAGTTGACCAGAAGATACCAATTGCTGCTCAGGGACAGGCTGGGTATTGGTCAGTGTGTAGTGAATTACTGTGTTGTGTGTCACTTGAGTTTGCTGACTATTATTCCTCTCTCCGTTTTCCCTTTCATTACTGTTATTATTATTATTGTTGTTGTTTCTATTGTTGTTGTTGTGATGATGATGATGATGTTTGTATCTCAACCCATGAGTTTCACCTGTATCCTGCTCTTCTCCACATCCCACTAGGACCAAGGCCAGAAGGGCTGCTTTAAGAGAATCTGTTTGTGGGATGAGCTCTGAGTCATCCTACAGTATTGCCTGAAACTATTGGTCTGTCTCAATGCCAATGGCATGTTTTGGACAAAGAAATTATAAATCCACAGAGGGATCAAATAACACACTCTTGTAGACTAGAAATTCTTCCCGTTCTGCTTAGTTAGGATGGCATTGGATTGCTTTGGTAATTTTTGCCATGCTTAGTCCTATTATGGACCTCTTCCATTTTCAAAGGAATGTTCTAATCCTTACTTCTTTCACAGGATAAAACATACTTCTAAGAAAGCTGGGCAGTGATGCCAACAAAATCCATGCAGCCCCTTGGAGAAGTTGATGGCCTTGGACATGTGCTTTAGCCTAAAGGAAAATTTCCATTTGGACAGTGCCACTTTGGGTGTCAGTCCTCCAGGGTTCTCAAAACATGGATCATGGAATGGATGGGAAGGAAGAAGGCAGCAGAGGTGTAGGACAGAGGAAGAAAAGGAGGAGGTGACTGAGTAGGTGAAAGAAAAAGCAATGGAAGAAGGTGCGGACATTAGAGAAGGAGGAGGTGATGGAGAATGTGAAGAAGTGACAGAAGACAACACTGGAAGAAGGAGGTGGAAGAAAAGGAGGAGACCATGAAGGAGGTGACAGAGGAAAGTGGCAGAAGAAGAGAAGGAGTGGTAGAAGAAGGGAAGAAGGAAGGTGCAAAAGAAGGTGGTGGAAGAAGGTGGTGAAAGAAGAAAAGGAGGCTATGGAGAAAGTGACAGAAGAAAAGGAGGCAATGGAAGAAGGTGGCAGAAGGGTGGTGGAAGAAGACTGTGGAAGAAAAGAATGAATAAGTGACAAAGAGTGGTGGAAGAAGGTAGGTGAAAAAGAGAAAGAGGAGACAATGGAGGAAGTGATAGTGGAGGTGGTGGTAGAAAGTGGCAGAAAACGAGAAAGGGGGGGTGATGGAATAAGGCAGCAGCAGAATGAATTGGAAGAAGAGAAAGTGAGGGGATGGAGAAGGCAACGACAGAGGTGATAAAAGAGATGGTGGAAGAAAGTGGTGTAAGAAGAGAAGGAGGAAGAGATGGAAGAAGGTGGTGAAAAGAAAAGGCAGAGGTGACAGAGGTGATGGAAGAAGGTGGTAGAAGAAGGTGGTCAAAAATGTGGCAGCAGAAATGAAGGAGGTGATGGAGGAGGTGGTGAAAGAAGGCATTGGAGGAGGAAAAGGAGGAAAATACATAGAAAGCAAGAGAAGAATGCGGCAGATGAAGGTGGTGGAAAAAGAGGGGGAGAAGGCAATGGAGAAGTTGACAGAAGAAAGATGCAGAAGAGGGTAGAGGAAGGAGGCAGTGGAAGAAGAGGTGGCAGCAGAATAAGACATCAAAAGAATGCAAAGGAAGATGGAGGAAGAAGAGGGGAGGAGGCAATAGAGAATGTGGTGGAATAAGGCAGCAGAAGGAAGTGTCAGAAGAGGGGGATGGAAGAGGAGGAAGAAGGTTGCAGAATAAAAGAAGGTGACAGAGGAGGGGACAGGAGGGAGTGGCAAAGATGGCAGAAAAAGAAAAGAAAAGAAAGAGAAGGTAAAAGAAAAAGGTTGTGGAAGAACACAGCAGAAACAAAGAGGAAGCGATGGAGGAGGTGATGGAGGAAGCAATGGAAAACAATGCTCTGAGGACCCTTTATGTTGCCTAGAAAAAACAGGTATTTTACACCCCAAGAAAACCCCTTCCAGAACTTGGAACCACTAGGGCAAGTGTTCCATCATTAAGTGCTGTCCCTACTTCCATCTCTGCCTGAACTACCCAACAACACTGTGAGATAAACCCATCTTCTAACACACACCTTTATCAGATCAGACCCTCCCATCCTGCCCAAAAGGGGCTGAGAGGCTTCCAGGAGACCTCTTATGCTCCAGAAAATGAAGGGATGCATTTGGGTAACTCTCCAAACTTATGCAGGACTTAAGCAACTCTGCCTGTCCTTCTCTGGGTCATGAGTGACACACTGGCAGACGGGTGACAGTCCAGAGAGATCTATGATAAACTTTGGTCTCTTACTGGGCTACAGTAGCAGGGAACTGTCCAGCACCAAGTCATTCCTGAGGATGAGAGAGATCAGATCAGATGTCATAGCCCTCCATGAATTTTTCTTCCATAAATGTGTCCCTGCTCTTTTTGAGGCCATGTAAATCTTTTGCAACCTTTCCCACAAAAACCTGTGGGAAGGACTTCACAGCTTCCCTAAAAGAGGAGGAAGTGTTTTGAACCAGCCCCAACCCCCAAGCTTTGCATGTTTCTCCCTGATTCTTGGACAGAAACAGACAACAAACAAACCATCCTTCCCCTGGCTCCTCAGACCGCTGTCATGTACTATGTCTTCTTTCTCTCTAGGACATGGATTCTCTCTAGAATCCATGTTTCTGGCATGGATAGAATTAGAAGAAAAGCATTAGAGGCCATAGGTGAAAGAGGAACACTTGAAGAAAGAATACAACAAGAGGCTGCCAGAGCAGGTTTGCTCAGATGTGGAGAGCTTTGGAGAATGTAGCAGCTGCTCCTACACAGCAGAAACTTGAGAAGAGAGAAGCAGTGGTGTCCTCATGACCAAGCTCTGCGAGCTGTAAAAGGACTAACCTCAGAAGCTCCTCTGATTTCTGTTCACAGGAAGCTTTATCTCTGTCAGCCCATGGTCTCACCAGGTTTCTCTTTCCCGGGATCTTTCATCAGCCTGGACAAATGGATTTCCTTTATCTGAGTCCAGTGTTGACACAGCTGACTGAAATACTTGAAGTAGAAAGATGGAGTTCTAGAAATGCAAGCTACCATTGCTTGTCCATTGATAAGACCTAGTAGAGCTGCCCTCAATTCACCAGTCCTCCTCCTTCCTGTGCCCCTGAAACCACCAGCTTTCTGCGGCAGCATCACTGCATGAACCGAGAGATTTGTTTGCAGCAGCAGATGTACAACCTTGAGTGTATTCTTTCAAAGACCCTCTAAAAACCTTACAATATGGAATGTTTAGCAGTGTATCTGATTACAGCCTGTCTTAATGCCAATGGCATGTTTTGGAAAAAGAAATTATAAATCCACAGGGAGATCAGATTATACATTCTTGTAGACTAGAAATTCTTCTTGTTCTGCTTAGCTATGATGGCATTGAATAGCTTTGGTAACCTTTCCACAAATAGGGCTATTATGGACCTTTTGCTTTTCCACGGAAAGCTTCTAATCCTTACTTCTTTCCCAAAATAAAACATGCTTCTAAGAAAGCTTGGCAGTGACCCCAGTTTAAAGGTCAACAAAATCCATGCAGCCCCATAGAAAAGTTGCTGGCCTTGGACATGTGCTTTAGCCTAAAGGAAAACTTCATCTGGACAGTGTCACTTTGGGTGTCAGTCCTCCAGGGTTCTCAAAACATGGATCATGGAATGGAGTAGAAAGACTATTCCTATCTAATCTCTCACGCTATTCAAGCATCTCAAAAAATATGGCTTCTGTTTAATGTCTCATGAGAGTATCCCACATCTTTCAGGAGCTAACATGATGAAGTTGGCAGCTGCATGGAAAATGAAAAGGATTTTTCATCAGATGCGTTAAGCTTTAGCAAACTTTGCATCATGACAGAAATCCTCCACCTTCCCAAGAAGGATTTCAGAAGAGCTCGCTACTTGTGTTCCCAGTATTATTTTTCATATACACTACATTCATAAACATCAGCATGACCCTGAAATTCTTCTGTGGCAAAAATGAGTCTCTGTAGAACACTCCAAAGATGAATAAAAAGCAGGCCTTGGTACTTTAGCAGTTATTTTCTTAGCGATTAGGAGAGAGAAATTAGGAAAGGGAGACAGTGAGCATTCCCACATTTGAAGTATATAACTTGGGGAGTGGTGGACGACACAAAATAGTTTTCGTCATACTCCCTTTGGAAATTACTTGTGAGGAATTTTAGTTAGGAAATCACTGTTTTCTATATGACAAAACACACAGACACTATTCAAGGAAAGGGATAAACTTAACAAAGTTAACCAGTGGTTTGTTGGCTTTCCCCTCTCTCCCCAAAGAAATGCATTTTATCTTTCTGTCCACTACCTACAAAATTCAGCTTCTGGTGAAAATATGCATTTCTAAGAAAGACATCATCAGCACAGAGGAATCTCAAAGGGGTTTGAGACTTCTTCTCAACAGGTGCTGAGTTTAAGAATGAGGCAGAAAAACAACTAGGCATCTGCCAAAGCCAAACTGTATTTTTAAATTGAAGGCTGCCCTCTGGAATAACTTAAAATAGCTCTCTGTCTTAAGAGAGGTTTATGATTAACAGATATACTATTTGTACTTTCTACTAGGGCCTGTTAATGCCCACGTTTGGGTCTCCAAATTTTCCACTGTGTACTTTTTGTCTGGAGAAAACCTTGGACTAGAGATAAGGCCATATCCAAAAATGTATTTCTAGCAGCTCCTGCTTCCAGTCAACCTGTCTGGGCTTGAGGCTGAATCAAGACCATGAAGTGCCTGCTGTTTCTCGCCTTTGTTGGGGCGGCTGGTGAGTATGTTTTTTACTTCTATTTCTGTAATGTAAAAGGAAGCTGATTTTCTGAGCAAAATGGCAAGGTAGCCTGTTGTGGGAAAGCCACACCTCGTTTCAACCTGCCGAAGTTTCAAGGCAGAGTCCTGCAACTTCTGTCTTCTGTTCGCAATTGCTTGTGTCAAAACATGGGGAATGAACACCTTCACAGGGGTTCCTGACCCAGCAATGCAGGAATGTGTCCATAGCTCAAGAAAAAGACTCCCTCTCTCTTAAGAAACACACAGATAACAGTTCTGGCCCAGGAAGCCCTAAAGCAGCTGTACAATTTTAGACTCTAGGCGGGCGCTTGCTCCAAGGAAATGGCACCGTGGACTTGTTTTGTACTTTTGTGTTCAGTCCACTCTTGACCATTTCTGCAGACAGGATCCTGGGGAAGACACACCTTTCCTCCGATCCATCAAGCAAATTTCTATGTTCTTCTGTTCACTCAGGGTGTAGCTGGACATGCTTTAGTTGGTGACTCGTGAGACACCAGACTAAGCCTGATCACCTTATTGGAGGGTGCAGCAAGTGAATGTCCATTGCACTTGCTCACCACTGCTACCCTGAGTTTTATAGAAGCACAACCTCCAAGTGGGGTGCACAAGGTACCTTAGGCCAGGTGTTGACATGTGGCACTTCTTATCTCCCAGTTGCCTTTCCCACCATCGCTGAGGATGATGACGACAAGATCGTGGGAGGCTACACCTGTGCAGAGAACTCTGTTCCCTATCAGGTGTCCCTGAATTCCGGATATCACTTCTGTGGAGGTTCCCTCATCAGCAGCCAGTGGGTCCTGTCAGCTGCTCACTGCTACAAATAGTGAGTGGAAAAATTCACATTCTTCTCCAACTGACTTCTCTCTTCCAGCTCACTTCTAGCAGGAATTCAGAGTTATGAGATACAAATAGGGAAGTGGCTCTGTTGTGACCTGAGACAGCCAAGGGATGGATGGCTCATTCAGGAAGGTGGGTTGAGGCACCCAAAAGGGTATTTTCCTTCTGCAAATGTTTCTGTCAATGCAGAGCACTTTCTGAAATGACAATGGAATAATCGAGAAACAAGTTACGGGCTATGATTTCTTGTCCATTCCATGAATCCAGCTAAAGCAGGGTCACTGCAGAACAGGAAGAGCAATGAGGTCCGGCTGATGAAGGTTTGCCTTATTCCAGAATGTTTCTATAAATCACTGCAATATATTCCACTGCCATCTATACATAACCCTACAGAAATCCACCACCCCTACTGGGAGTGGGTAAAGATCTCAGCGTGGATTCTCTTGGCTTATGCAGGACAAGAAAGATAACCCACCCAAAAGAGCTAGTGGGGCAGCGATGTAGAAGCAAGGGCATCAAGTGACAGAGAGGTTTCTCTTAAGCTGTACAAGGGTAGCAGAAAAGTACATGCCGTGCCTTCTCTTTTTTGCAGTCGCATCCAAGTGCAGCTCGGGAAAAATAACCTGGCCCTGACAGAATCAACACAGCTGTTTATTAACTCAGCTAAAGTCATCCGCCACTCTGGCTACAGCGCCTATACCCTGAACAATGACATCATGCTCATCAAGCTTGCCACCCCAGCCCAGCTCAGCAAGGCTATCCAAACAGTTCCTCTGCCCACCAGCTGTGTGGCCGCTGGCACCACTTGCCTGATCTCCGGCTGGGGCAACACACTCAGCAGTGGCAGTGAGTACTCTGTGGGAATGTACAGC